GGGTTTGGGGCGGAATCGAAGAGGCTGAACCGAAAAAAATCGGTGGTTTTGGGGTAAAACCGAGGAGGTTTCGACCAAAATTGGAGGTTTTTGGGGTGGAATTTGAGGAAGTTGAACCCAAAACTGGTGGGTTTGGGGGTGAAATCAAAGGGGTTTCAGCCAAAATCGGAGGGTTTGGGGTGAAATTAAAGGGATTTCAACCAAAATTGGAGCTTTTGGGTGGAATTGAGGAAGTTGGACCCAAAATTGGAGTTTTTTTTGGGGTGGAACTGATGAAGTTGAACCCCAAAAATCTGTGAGTTTGGGGGTAAAATCAAAGGGGTTTCAACCAAAATCAGCGGGTTTTGGGTGAAATTAAAGGGATTTCAACCCAAATCGGTGGGTTTGGGTGAAATTAAAGGGATTTCAACCAAAATTGGAGCTTTTTGGGGTGGAATTGAGGATGTTGAACCCAAAACTGGAGTTTTTGGGGTGGAATTGTGGAAGTTGAACCCAAAATTGGAGCTTTTGGGGTGGAATTGAGGAAGTTGAACCCCAAAATCCGTGGGTTTGGGGGGTAAAACCGAGGAGGCTCCGACCCAAATCGGTGGGTTTGGGGTGACATAAATGGGGGGTTAAACCCCCCCAAAATCGACCCTTTTTGGACCAAACCGAGGGGGTTTCACCCCAAAACGTCCCCTCCCCAAGGTGTGTGGCCCCAGAGTCCCCCAGAGCTGCGGGGAGAACGTTCACCTGAGGGGTTTCTGCGCCGTGCTGGGCCCCGACCTGCGGCAGCTCCGGCGCCTCCCCGACGCCCTCCCAGGTATGGGGGGGGTCCTGAGGGGGGTCAGGGTTGGTCCCCCACCCCCCTTCCAGACCCCACTGACCCCCCTGGACCCCCCAAAGGGTGCTCCAAGCGCTCCCACGACATCGTGTTCCTGGTGGACGGCTCGGGCAGCATCGCCCCCGGCGACTTCGGCACCATGAAGGGCTTCGTGGCCGAGGTCATGCGGCGCTTCCGCGGCACCGACACCCTGGTGAGGCCCCCCCCCCGTCCACCGGGGGGCTGGGGGGGTCAAATGGGGGGTCAGCAATGATGGTTGACCCCCCCAGGGGTCACTGGTCACCTCGGGGGGGGGCTGAGTCCGTTAATATTGACCATTGACCCCCCACCAATGACCGTTGGCCCGCGGCGATTCCGCGGCACCGACACACTGGTGAGGCCCCCCCCCCCGTCCACCGGGGGGCTGGGGGGGTCAAATGGGGGGTCAGCAATGATGGCTGACCCCCCCAGGGGTCACTGGTCACCTTGGGGGGGGGCTGAGTCCATCAATGTTGGCCATTGACCCCCACCAATGACCGTTGGCCCGCGGCGATTCCGCGGCACCGACACCCTGGTGAGGCGCCCCCCCCGTCCACCGGGGGGCTGGGGGGGTCAAATGGGGGGTCAGCACTGATGGTTGACCCCCCCAGGGGTCATTGGTCACCTCGGGGGGGGTCGAGTCCGTTAATATTGACCATTGACCCCCCCCCAATGGCTGTTGATTGTCTTGGGGCCTTGGCTTCATCAACATTGACCCTTGACCCCTCCAATGACCATTGGCCACCGTTGACCCCCCCCCAA